GAGGAGAGGCTTGCGGAGCCCCAATGCGGTTTCAGGAAAGGGCGGTCCTGCACAGATGCCATATTTTCTGTCCGTCTGCTACAGCAGAGGTGTAGGGAATTCCAACAAGACCTACATCTCTGCTTTATTGACCTGGTCAAGGCCTATGATACCATCAGTAGGCCTGGGCTCTGGGTCGTTCTTCGTGCTTTTGGAGTACCTGACCCTCTGCTCACGTTCATTAAGGACCTTCATGATGGTGAGCGGGCCCGGGTAAAACTACGTGGCCGAGAGTCAGAGCCATTCCCTGTACACCTTGGGGTGCGACAGGGATGTCCTCTGGCTCCCACATTATTTAACATCTATTTTGACCACGTAGTTCGTGAAGCCTTCAATAGCTGTACCGGGGGAATCTCCATATGGTACAGATATAATGGGAGGCTAATCGATGCCCGGGTGCGGTCAAGGGATGGCTCCCTACTGCTCAACCACGTTATGTATGCTGATGACTTGGTAATAGCTGCTCAGTCAGAGGAGGAGTTGGAGACGCTGCTGCTGAGACTGGAGCGTGCCACTAAGAGGTGGGGCCTTACCATCAGCCCCACCAAAACTAAGCACCTGCCTGGGTATTTTGTACCATCGGACACTCCACCCCCACAACTCCCAATCGGTGATGGGGCAGTTGTGGAGAGAGTGGAGAGTTTCCCATACCTGGGCAGTGTGCTTATGACTGGCTCCAGTTTAACAGCAGAGGTCTCACTCCGAATCAGTCGAGCGGCAATATCTTTTCATCGGTTGCGTAACGCTGTGTGGAAGCTACCTGGTCTGTCGCTCCGCACTAAGCTTCAGGTCTTCTCGGCCACGGTCATTCCCTCCCTTCTCTACGCTTGCGAAACGTGGACCCCCCTAATGGAACATCTTCGCCGGTTAGAAACATTTAGGCTGGCCTGCCTACGATCCATCCTGGGTTTAACCAGACTGGATTGTGTGAGGAGCTCACAAATCCTTGAAAGATCTGGGCAGGGTCCCATCGGTGAGCTCCTCCGGCAGGCAAGGCTGCGATGGCTGGGTCATGTAGCCCGCATGCCCAGCCACCGCATGCCGAAACAGCTTTTGTTTGGCCGGATTGAGGGGGCTAAGCGGGCGCGGCACGGGCTAGAGAAGAGATGGAGTGATGTGGTACAGGAGGACGTGGAGCTGAGTGGACTTGCCGATGACTGGTACCAGCGGTGTCAAGATCGGCCTCTGTGGAGGAGGCTCGTGAAGGATGCTACTGGGCAGTTGGAGGCAGTCGCCCTCCAACAACAACGGAGGGCGGAGGAGCGACGCTCACAACAGCGAGCGGAGCGCCGGGTGGCTAAAGCACAGCAGGTTGGCACAGTAGGGGGCACAGGTGGTGCATCAGCCAGTCATCTCAGTCAGTCGACCCGTGGCACCTGGGTCTGCCCCGTGACCTCCTGCCAGCGGGCGTTCGACACTTCACGTGGCCTCAGGGTGCACATAGCCTGGCACAAGCGTCGTGGTGACGTCACCGCCACTTAGTGGCGAATGGCGGTTGTTGTTGTTGTGTCGGGGTGTGTGTGTGTGTGTTGGGGTATGTGTGTTGGGGTGTGAGTGTGTCGGGGTGTGTGTGTGTGTGTGTTGGGGTGTGTGTGTTGGGGTGTGAAATGAGTACCTGGTGCGGTGTGTAAACATCGCCACTGGGGAGACAAAGGCGGTCGGACGTGGTGCTGGCCACCCACCCCCTCGTGTACCGTTCCGGTCTTTATAGGTGCTCACTAACAACACTTGCCCCTACAGTCTGTTAAGTCTACACGGGGGATCTTTGTCTTTTGTGTTGGGGTGTGTGTGTTGGTGTGTGTGTGTGTGTTGGGGTGTGTGTCTGTATGTGTGTGTTGGGAGCGGTGGTGTAGCGGTTAGCGCACTGCGGTACGAACCCGGCGGCCCAAGTTCGATTCCAGCTCACGGCCAACACTGGTGACGATTATCTGAACCGGTCCTGGGCATCCCCTAGGTCGACTCGGCCTCAAATTAGTACCTGATGCGGTGTAGAGTAAACATCGCCACTGGGGAGACAAAGGCGGCCGGGCGTGGTGCTGGCCACCCACCCCCTCGTGTACCGTTCCGGCCTTCATAGGTGCTGCTCGCTAACAGCACTTACCCCTACAGTCTGTTAAGGCTAATACATGGAGTCTTTGTGTGTGTGTGTACATTCGTGTGCGCGTGTAAGTGGCCGTGTGTGCGTGTGTACGGTCGTGATTAAACTCTGTTGTGTTTGTGTCAATCGACACTCAGGGACGCCCTTACAAACTATATGTCCCCATCCCATTGTGGTGTGCGGTGGGTGTTGCAGGTTGAATATCCGCACGGAGATTCAAAGCCGAGCGGCGTTGGCGGAGCCGTCTCTCCCCCCCCTCCACCCAGCGATGGTTACACTCCGAGTCACGTGATTCGGCCGCTGCCGTCGCCGTGGCGACCGCACACGGAGATTAGCGTCGCCACGGCAACGGGAGGTTTGCGTTGAGAGGCGCGAGCGGGGCTGGAGGGGGAATGAGAGAAGGGGAGGAGGTTGAGGTGGGGGGGGGTGAGATGGGTGGGGAGGGGTGAGATGGGTGGGGGGTGAGATGGGTGGGGGGTGAGATGGGTGGGGGAGGGGTGAGATGGGTGGGGGGGGTGAGATGGGTGGGGGTGAGATGGGTGGGGGGGGGTGAGATGGGTGGGTAGGGGTGAGATGGGTGGGGGGGGTGAGATGGGTGGGGGGTGAGATGGGTGGGGGGGGGGGTGAGATGGGTGAGGGGGGGGGTGAGATGGGTGGGGGGGGGTGAGATGGGTGGGGGGGGGTGAGATGGGTGAGGGGGGGGTGAGATGGGTGGGGGGGTTGAGATGGGTGGGGGGGGGGGTGAGATGGGTGGGGAGGGGTGAGATGGGTGGGGGGTGAGATGGGTGGGGGGGGGTGAGATGGGTGGGGGGGGGGGTGAGATGGGTGGGGGGGTGAGATGGGTGGGGGAGGGGTGAGATGGGTGGGGGGGGGGGTGAGATGGGTGGGGGTGAGATGGGTGGGGGGGGTGAGATGGGTGGGGAGGGGTGAGATGGGTGGGAGGGGTGAGATGGGTGGGGGGGGTGAGATGGGTGAGGGGGGGGTGAGATGGGTGGGGGGGGGTGAGATGGGTGGGGGGGGGTGAGATGGGTGAGGGGGGGGTGAGATGGGTGGGGGGGGGTGAGATGGGTGGGGAGGGGTGAGATTGGTGGGGGGTGAGATGGGTGGGGGGGTGAGATGGGTGGGGGAGTGGTGAGATGGGTGAGATGGGTGGGGGGGGGGGTGAGATGGGTGGGGGTGAGATGGGTGGGGGGGGGTGAGATGGGTGGGGAGGGGTGAGATGGGTGGGGGGGTGAGATGGGTGAGGGGGGGTGAGATGGGTGAGGGGGGGTGAGATGGTTGGGGGGGTGAGATTGGTGGGGGGTGAGATGGGTGGGGGGGTGAGATGGGTGGGGGAGGGGTGAGATGGGTGAGATGGGTGGGGGGGGGGTGAGATGGGTGGGGGTGAGATGGGTGGGGGGGGGGTGAGATGGGTGGGGGGGTTGAGATGGGTGGGGGGGTTGAGATGGGTGGGGGGGGTGAGATGGGTGAGGGGGGTTGAGATGGGTGGGGGGTGGTTGAGATGGGTGGGGGGGGTGAGATGGGAGGGGGGGGGGTGAGATGGGTGGGGGGGGGGAGAGATGGGTGGGGGGGTTGAGATGGGTCGGGGGGGGGTGAGATGGGTGAGGGGGGGGGAGAGATGGGTGAGGGGGGGTGAGATGGGTGGGGGGGGGTTGAGATGGGTCGGGGGGGGGGTTGAGATGGGTGGGGGGGGGGTTGAGATGGGTGGGGGGGGTTGAGATGGGTCGGGGGGGGGTTGAGATGGGTGGGGGGGGGGTTGAGATGGGTGGGGGGGGTTGAGATGGGTGAGGGGGGGTGAGATGGTTGGGGGGTTGAGATGGGTGGGGGGGGTTGAGATGGGTGGGGGGGGTTGAGATGGGTGAGGGGGGGTGAGATGGTTGGGGGGGTTGAGATTGGTGGGGGGGGTGAGATGGGTCGGGGGGGGGGGGTTGAGATGGGTGGGGGGGGTTGAGATGGGTGGGGGGGGGGGTTGAGGTGGGTTGGGGGGTTGAGATGGGTGGGGGGGTTGAGATGGGTGAGGGGGGTTGAGATGGGTGGGGGGGGGGGGTTGAGGTGGGTGGGGGGTTGAGACGGGTGGGGGGGGTGAGATGGGTGAGGGGGGTTGAGATGGGTGGGGGGGGGTTGAGGTGGGTGGGGGGTTGAGATGGGTGGGGGGGTGAGATGGGTGGGGGGGGTTGAGATGGGTGAGATGGGTGGGGGGGGTTGAGATGGATGGGGGGGGGGTTGAGGTGGGTGGGGGGTTGAGATGGGTGGGGGGGTTGAGATGGGTGGGGGGGTTGAGATGGGTGGGGGGGGTTAAGATGGGTGAGATGGGTGGGGGGGGTTGAGATGGGTGAGGGGGGGGTGAGATGGGTGAGATGGGTGGGGGGGGTTGAGGTGGGTGAGGGGGGTTGAGATGGGTGGGGGGGGGGGTTGAGATGGGTGGGGGGGGGTTGAGATGGGTGAGGGGGTTGAGGTGGGTGAGGGGGGTTGAGGTGGGGAGAAAGGCGGTTGTGAGAGGGGGTTTGAGATTGAAAGGGAGACCGGCGTAGCTATCGAGTGTGCAGGCGGTGCAATTGTGCTCTGGGGTCCACGTGCGGGATATGAAGAGGTAATTGGATGGGGGAGGAGGGGGTTGGTGGGGGTGGGGCATTTAATTGCTTGCACCAGGGCCCCAACTAAGCAGGCTGCTGTTCCAGTGTAGGCGAGCACCTGGACTGGCACAGCGCCAGGCCTGCATTATCTCCCCAGTGCTGTTTGTTTGCACTTCGGTCTACACAGGGGGCCTCCGTGCCCGCGTCTGCTGAGCCACTCGGCCACCTGTGACTACGAGTAAACAAAAGCACGCGTTGTTGTTGTTGTTGTTTTTTCCCTGTTGCTCTAGGACGGTGCCGTGAGCGGCGGGGAGGACAAGGAGCCGCGTCGTTGCCCAGCCCACCCGCCCGCTTCGTGCGTCTGAACGACGCGTCCAAAGACAGCGCCAACCCTAACGCCACCCCCCGCCACGCGTGCCGGGGAAAAAAACGACCGCCCCACTGAAACGACGGCCGTCATGCGGCGGGGCGGACGCCTGAACCCCAGCGAGGAGCGGTTCCCTCGTCCCGTCGCCCGCGATTCTCGTCGGCCGCCTCCGTCCGGCTCGCCCGGCGAGGCCAGCGGGCTCCGCCTGAGGAGGGGGGAGAAGGACGCGGCGACGGATTGAGTTCCGGCGGGGCCCTTCCTCCGGGCGACGGTCGATATTGGCCGAAAACAACTTGCGTCTCTTTTTTTCTCGCCGTCTCAATTTGAGTTCAGCGAAGGTCGCGCTGACGCTGACGAGCGCATCGAGGACGAGCAGCGGCCACCCCCCCCCCCCAAGGGACACGGGCGTCGTCGGCAAAGTTCGGCATCGGGGGAGGCGGGGATTTGGTGGGGACAGCGACATCGTCCTTGCTTGCCAGGGACTCGTACTCGGTATTGGTCCTGCGTTCGGACGCTCGTCCGCTTGGTCATTATTTGGTGAAGCGCGAGGGGGGGCGGTGGGAAATGAGGGCGGAGTGACTCGTCCCAGCGGGCTGCGAGTGGCGGCCGTGGTTTGTGCATAACTTGTTTAAATTTTCTGACGTGTGTGCGAAAAGCCGTCGTTAACATCTGAAGAGCGCGTGATTTATTTTAGCTCATAATTGGATCAGAGCTGGGTATTCGGAGAAAAAGTGTCAATGTTAAACTCGGGAAGGGTTTTTTTTTCTTTCGAATCACCGTACATGAAAGCGACAAAATAGCATTTCCACAAATTCACACCGATTTAAATTCAAGCGTGAGGCGATAACGTGAGAGACAAATTGGCGTGCGCCGCATCGAATTATTAGAAGAAAAAAAAACTCTAAGAAAAATAAAATCTACAAACATTATAAGGTGCAGGCTCCGGAGAGAGATCAGCGAATTCTACCGCGTAGGGACGTCGACACTTTGGAGAAACCCCTGCGACCTAGGCCCTCCTCAGGCCCGCCACATGCCTAGGCCTCGTGCGGAAACTCTCCTCGACGCGGGCACCGGGCAACCCGAGCGACGGGCGCCATGGGCACCGCCACCTACGAGGAGATCTGCGGCGCCTTCTCCCCCAACGTCACGTCGGACGAGGCACGGGCCGCGGCGGCCCCCGGCGCGGCCCTGCGCGTGACGCTGGCGTCGCTGCTCGCCCTCACCACCGCGCTGGGCTTTGGCGGCAACCTCGTCGTGTGCCTCGTCGTCTACCGGCGACCCGCCATGCGCTCCGCCATCAACCTGCTGCTCGCCACCCTCGCCTTCTCCGACATGGCGCTGGCGGCGTCGTGCGCGGCGCCCGACGCCGTGTCGGTGGCGGCGGGCGCGTGGCCGTTCGGCGAGGCGGCGTGCCGCGTCTCGACGGCGCTCTTCTGGCTGCTCGCGGCCGAGGGCGTCGCCGTGCTGCTCGTCATCAGCGCCGACCGCTTCCTCATCATCGTGCGCCGCCGCGACACGCTCACGCCCCGCCGCGCCAAGGCCGTCATCGCCGCCTCGTGGGCCGCCTCCCTCGCCGTCTCGCTGCCCGCCGCCGTCGGGTGGCCCACGGTGGAGTCGCCCCCCCGCGCGCCGCGCTGCGTCCTCTCCTACCCCCGCGCCGCCGGCGGCGGGGGGCGGCGGCGCCGGCGCCGGCGGCGGGGGGGCGGCGGCGGCGGCCGGCCGGCGCCGGCGGCGCGGTGGGGGGCGGCGGCGGAGCGGCGGGGGGCAGCCGGGCGTACGCGGCGGCGGCCACGACGGCGGTGTTCTTCGCGCCCTTCGCGGCCATGCTGTACGCGTACCTGCGCATCCTGAACGCGGTGCGGCGCAACGCGGCGCGCGTCCACAACCACCCGGCGGGCCTGTGCCCGTCGCGGGCGGGCAAGCCGGGCCTCGCGGGCCTGCAGACGCTGTCGCGCCTCAACGCCGACGTGAGCTTCAAGACGCGCGCCTTCGCCACCGTGCTCACGCTGTTCGGCGTGTGCGCCGCCTGCTTCGCGCCGTGCGCGGCCCACGTCCTGCTGTCCGCGTGCAGCCGCGCCTTCTACTGCGGGGCCTCCTTCTACGCGGCCAGCGCCTGGGTGCTGTGGCTCGCCTACCTCAAGGCCGCCCTCAACCCCGTCGTCTACTACTGGCGCATCGGCAAGTTCCGGCGGGCGTGCGGCGAGCTGGCGCCGCAGCTGTTCCGCTCGCTGCCCGCGTCCGTGTTCCCGGGCCGGGCCCGCGGGCGCGTGCGGCCCAGCGCCGTGTACGTGTGTGGGGAGAGCCAGTCGGCTCTCTGAGAGGGCGGGGGGAGAGCGAGCGCAGTGGGGGAGAGAACGAGCGGGGGGGGGGGGTGAGAGCGGGCAGATCCGGTCAGCTCTCTTGAGAGAGTGGGAATGGTGGGCGGGGTGGGGAGACATCGGGAAGAGAGCAGGGAGAGGGGGGTTGAGTCGGGGAGAGAACGGGGAGAGTGGGGAAAGAGTGGAAAGAGTGGGGAGGGAGCAAGGAGAGTCGCACGGTACTCGGGATGAGTAAATGAGATGGTTTTTAATCTAATGCGATGAAGTGCTGCTATAGCAATCAAATGTAAGAGCTCTGTTGAAAGTGATCAGTGATTCTACAATCATCAAGAGGTCTGTTAAGAGATCTACATGTATTGAAATTCAATGTTGGAGATGACTGTGATAGATCTGTTAATCGGGGCGAGCTGTATTTAAGTGAATCTGTAATGCGAGATAAAAATGTGTATCTTAGAAGAGGACAGAGATTAAGCAGATCTCTTGTTTCATGGAACTTAGGAGATGTGTTCGGGAAGATGTGCACAAAATATTTACAGAGATCCTTTGAAGGAAGCTTGAATTAATTTTCTAAAGAACAGACGTGTTTGTAAAAGATGACTTTTGAAAGACTTTCTGAGCAATATCCGATCGCTCGTGGTGATCTGAACCTTCATCAAGAGATTACCGCCTGTATTTAAATGAGACTCAAGAATACAAAGCAGAGGCTTTTGAAAGTGAGCAATACTCGGTACAGCTCGCTTGAAGCACTGCGTCGTATTTGAGAGACGGGAACCCTAGGCCACTGTCGTGGAGGTTATTGGAGATCGTTTGTCTTTTTAAATCCCAGTAGTGTGTCTATGGGGAGGAGGAGTGGTGGCGGCACGGTGGTTGAGAGCGCCGGGCCACAGACCCGGTCACCCGAGTTTGATTCCAGACTACAGCTAAAATCAGTGGTGAGTGATATCAGGCCTGGGACTGGTTGTAGAGGTTATTGGGGCTCGTTCGTCGTTTTAAATCCCGTAGTGTGTCTATAGGGAGGAGCGGTAGCGGCGTGGTGGTTTAGCCCACCGGGCCACGGACCCGGTGACCCGAGTTCGATTCCAGACCACAGCTAGTATCAGTGGTGAGTGATATCGGGCCTGGGACTGGGCCCCCTCCTCCACTTCCCTCCACCCCCCCCCTCCCCTTTTATGAAGCCGCATGACAAATGTAATTAAGTATGGTCAGACAACTCCCACGACTGACAAAGTGTGGGGAAGCCACATTTTGTCAGTTGTCAGTCGTCCAAACCAGTGGATTGACTGTGAATTGTTATCAGGATCACGACGAGTGATTTGTTTTCAGTATCGTGCTGTACACCGCATCCCCTGTGGGCGCAGGGTCACCTGACCAGCATTGGTCTACTGCCAGCCGGTATGCGGTGATTGCTGCCGTGCATGATCCAATCGAGTGCTTTTACGGGCGATTTTACTCAACACTGTAAAACCAAAACCTCGCCCGGCGCCGGTTTTCCCATTGCGCATTTGACCGCATTTCGCGCCAAATTGTGATTGAGGCGAGGTGCAGAACTTGGCCGATCGCTACCCTGAGATGGCAAGATTGCGCCTCGGTAGGCATCGCAAAGAGGTTCTCGCGTTAAGCCACCGGGGCCATGGACTTTTAAATCTAGATTTGTTTTTTTTTAAGCTCATTTCGTTGACAAACGCTCTTTGTGTGTTTAGTTTGATGTCGTTGACCCCTGCGCCTCCGATTAGCACGGTACGGAGCGAAAAGAAGTCCAACGGACTGCATACTCTTAACTGCACTGCTCGCGATGATGATGCTGCTGCTGCTGCTGCCACGCTTCCTATAGCGGTTCCCAGGTCACGCGCTGCTCCCAGCGTCCACCGAGGCCACCAGCGACAAGTACATGTATTGCGCGCAACGTTCATTTTCATTTCGCCCGTTGACCGCTCAACTTACATTCGGCAACTGGAGAAAAATGTTAATATTTTGCGTAAAAGAAAATAGTTCCCGTTGCATGTCTGGGGGCAGTAGTTCTCAACCGGGGGTACGCGTACCCCTCTTGTTAGACATAACTTGCACGGTCAGCGTATGAAATGGAAATAAGTAATGCAGTGTGCGGTACCGTACTCGTATATCCGTGTACAGTTCAGCACACTGCGGGGATAATAATTATGGCACGGCTGAACTTCACCGCCTCCTCACCGGAGGCCGGGAACGCCGTGTGTGCCTGGGACCCGCGATGGACCGCGTGGGAGACGGAGACGGCTCCGCGTGTCTTCTTCCGCGGCAGCAGCAGCAGCAGCAGCAGCGGCGGCGGCGGCGTCGTCGTCGCAAGCAGTGCAGTCACGACGCTCTACGGCTGGGAATCTCGCGAGCGGTCGAGCCACGTTGCGGGGGGGGCGGCGAACGGTGAACTGCACCTCCACAAGTTTTGGCGCAAATCCGCGTACGGCCGAAAACCCGCGAGCGGGAGAGGTGGTTTTCTGTCCAGGGTAACCCCCCCCCCCACCACCCCCTCGGTTTGCGAGAAATTGATAACCCCCCCCCCCCCCCCCATCGACCACCTTTTCGACGGACGAAATCGAATTTCCCCTTCGAAACGAAATCTCACGGCGCGGCCACGCGGGCCGTGAGATCGTCAAACGGGACGGCACCCAGCCGGCGGCGGCGTCGCCCTGCGTCGCCAAAGTCGTTCCAAGTCGCCCTGCGTCGCTCCAAGTCGTTCCAACACGCGGCGGGTGGTTTGGGTGACGTCCGTGAAAAGGTGAATTGTTGCTCTAGATTCATCATCGTCATCATTATTATTATTATTCGATCGTTTTCATGTTTGCATTCTTGATTATTTGTACCGTGAAAAGTGATGTAGGTGTATCAATTTAGGTTAGGAGTAGAGTTGGAAGCGCCACGCGACACTCATCCCCTCACGTTTTGTATTAAATTGATGGGAAAAGCCGCTCTGATTTGACCAAGTTTCGTTTTTACCCTGAGTCTTTTTTTTAAGATCGCATCCCTTTCGTAAACCGAGGGACACGGGTACATACACATAGATATACATACATACAGAGACATCTGTACATACAGAGACATCTGTACAGACACATAGAGATACATACATATATATTCATACAGAGACACCTGTACATACACATGCAGATACATACATAGATACTTATAGAGACATCTGTACAGACACAGAGAGATACATACATAGATACATACAGAGACATCTGTACAGACACAGAGAGATACATACATAGATACTTATAGAGACATCTGTACAGACGCAGAGAGATAGATAGATACATACATATATATTCATACAGAGACACCTGTACATACAGATACATACATAGGTACATACAGAGACATCTATACAGACACAGATAGATATATACATATATACATACAGAGACACCTGTACATACACATAGAGATACATACATATATACATAGATACATACAGAGAAATCTGTACAGACACAGAGAGATACATATATATTCATACAGAGACACCTGTACATAGACATACAGATACATACATAGATACATACAGAGACATCTGTACAAGCACAGAGATACATACATATATTCATAGAGACACATGTACATACACATAGAGATACATACATAGATACATACAGAGACATCTGTACAGACACAGAGAGATACATAGATACAGAGACATCTGTACAGACACAGAGAGATACATAGATACATACAGAGACATTTGTACAGACACAGAGATACATAAATAGATACATACAGAGACACCTGTACATACACATAGAGATACATACATAGATACATATACAGATACACCTATACATAGATACATACAGAGACATCTGTACAGACACAGAGAGATACATACATATATACATAGAGACACCTGTACATACACAGATAGATACATACGTAGATACATATAGAGAGACACCTGTACATACCCACAGAGATACATACGTACATAGATACATATACAGAGACACCTGCACATACACAGAGATACATACATACATAGATACATACAAAGACACCTGTTCATACACAGAGATACATACGTACATAGATACATAGAGACACCTGTACATACACGTAGAGATAATACATAGATGCATACAGAGACACCTGTACATACACACAGAGATACATATATAGTGACACCTGTAAATACACATATACATACATGCATACATACACAGGGGCACCTGTGCATACACATTGAGATGCATACATAGATACATATACAGAGACACCTCTACTTACACACAGAGATGCATTCATACGTACATACAAACAGAGATACCTGTACATATACATCGAGATACATGCATACGTACATAGATACATACACCAGGGACACCTGTACATACACATTGAGATGCATACGTACATAGACACATACAAGAGGGACACCTCTACATACACATTGAGATACGTACGTAGATATACAGGATGTTTGAAAAAGATGGACCCGATTTGAAATCGCTCCATCTCTGCAACCACACAAACAGCCCCTAGCCTCAGTCATTCTCTAGATGGTGACGCCAGTGCACAAACAGCCCCTAGCCTCAGTCACTCTCTAGACGGTGACCCCAGCACACAAACAGCCCCTAGCCTCAGTCACTCTCTAGATGGTGACCCCAGCACACAAACAGCCCCTAGCCTCAGTCACTCTCTAGATGGTGACCCCAGCACACAAACAGCCCCTAGCCTCAGTCATTCTCTAGATGGTGACCCCAGCTCACAAACAGCCCCTAGCCTCAGTCATTCTCTTGATGGTGACCCCAGTGAACAAACAGCCCCTAGCCTCAGTCATTCTCTAGATGGTGACCCCCACAACACAAACAGCCCCTAGCCCCAGTCACTCTCTAGACGGTGACCCCAGCACACAACAGCCCCTAGCCTCAGTCACTCTCTAGATGGTGACCCCAGCACACAAACAGCCCCTAGCCTCAGTCACTCTCTAGATGGTGACCCCAGCACACAAACAGCCCCTAGCCTCAGTCACACTCTAGATGGTGACCCCA